CATGCAGTCTGAAAGTGCCGCCTTAAACCAATAGGCTAGGCCTTTCTGCTCACCGCTATCAAATACCATGCGCCACCCTTCCCGCACACCCCACCCTTGTCGGGAGCCTCTCTCGCTGTCGCTGGGCCTCGCATGCTGCCGCCTGGCGCTGCTTAAGCCGTTTGGGCTTTTCGGCTTCTCCCGGCTCTCGTAAAAATAGGGGTGCGCAACTGATCCAAGAAAGCCGCACGACGAGACAACGGTCCATCAAGCTGACTCGGTGATCATCTACATTTAATGGCCCTTGCACCGATCCGACGGTAGTTTAGTAACTACGTAACTTACGTAAGCGCGAAACACAATCATGAAAAATGTCTGGGAACTAGACCGATCACTGACCACTGCCCCTGTTGCGGCCACATCTGTCCTTGCGACCGACTTTGGTCACTTTCGCGGAAAGGACTTCTACGGCTACAAACCTATCACCTCGTCTGCAGCGCGTCGCCGCTCGGCTGCCACTGCTGCCTCGGCGTCAAGCGCACGTGCCTGTGGCAGTGGTCATGTTTTGTGTTTTCGGGCAGGGGTGAGGAAGGTTCTCTCATGTATTTTCTGACTGCAAGCACGGGGGGCTGAGGGAAGGAGTACAGAGTGGGATGGTAGCTGTGGATCCTGTCTGCCGTAGGGTGCCAAGCGAAGCGCTTGCTGACTGCAGCGCAGCAGCAACTTGCTGTTCTGGACTATGACCAGGATACGACTGGTCTTTTGCTCAAATGGCACAGAAGCGTTGCACACATGACGAGCAAGCACAATAAAGTGCAAGATGACCTCCCACTTCGCGGCGGCTTCTTCCAGCGTGGCGAGCCTCTGCGGTTGGAACCCAGCTTGAGAGCATTGCAGGTTGCAGTCCAGCGGGCCAATGACAACCAAGATTGGCAGTACTTCATCGTAGTCTTTATCGTAAGTAGATGCACTGCTCGACTTTCTTCAAGCATGCCATAGCAAAGATTCGCAAAGCACTCGCATTGCAAAGGAGGTCTTCTGCAATACTACCTGGGCCCGACGACTTCTGTATGGTGTGCAACTCAAGTCTTATCCTGAAGATTGTTCTTGCACTCCCCCGCTTTCGCATTCCATGCGGGTGTCGATTTCCTCTTGCATAATCTGGGATTTGCCATGTATGTGTGCGATTCATGCCCATGCCGGGGCGGGACCCGAAGAAAATGTTTGCAGAAGAGCCGGCTTGGGGCTTCGAGATCTTTCCCTATAAGGGTCCATGCATGTATCCAAATCGTACATGTTTTGGCCTTAAAGTACGCCCTATAGCACGCCTTACTTGCAACTCTAACTAGGCAGGAAGAAACTCGAAGCTCCGATTATTCCACGTTCTGTTGTAATAAACCCAAAAGCCCCACCATGTTCACATAGCCCACCGCATCATCGTGAAAGAGTGTGCCTCAGCTCCGCATCGCTTCGGCGGCGCTCGGCGTCCAAGAGTGCCTCCTGACTCCACGGAGGACAGCCAGAAACGGTGCGCTGCAATCAGTCCTAGGCCAGCATTCTTCGCAACAGGTCGGCGAGTTGTTTTGCCATGGCACAAGTTCGACTGTACACGAACCGGTTGCGCTTGACGGTTTCAAACCTCTTTTTGCAACAGGCTTTCCACTTCGCCCGGAGCTTCAAGCCCTAAACCTTAAACCCAACTTCGATTTGCAAGGCCATGTTTGTTTGACTGTACACGAACTGGCCTTAACGGCTCCGCCCTCTGGAAAAACGGTTTCGCGGTTGTCGCGCCGAAGGCTGAGAGGGCTAAAGCAGGTTTTGCTCTTGCTACTATTAGGTTATACGAGAATGCAAAAACACCTTCCCACCTGAATGAGAAGCTCTCTCTCCACATGGGGAAAATCCGAAACGGTGACATTCCCCCGATTTGGAAAAGCACATCTGTGGCGAACAAAGTTTCGAGGGAGCCATGGGAGAGGTTCCAACAATGCATCTGGGTGCTTCTGAAGGAACTTAACATCAGTTAGCAGAATAGGGACCTTTAGTACCTACAGAAAAACAATTAGGTTCTTGGTTATGGCAACTTAGAGTACATTCCGCAACAAGAACCCAGAATGCCGTGGCCAGTCTCTTGAAAATCTCCCGCTTCCTCAAGCCTGGAGCATAGAGGCCGCCCCGACAAGCTCGTGCAAAGTTTGAGGCCGTACAGACGTCCTCATATCTAATTCTTCTGGAATCTCATAGAGCAAAGAACACTCGAGATCCAGAGGGTGCGGTCAGCATCACTCATCCCCACTCCCACGGTCCGTCGCATCTGGCAAAGCTCAGTCTGTGGTGGCCCTTACCACTCACAGCGCTGGTTCTGAGTTGCGGCGAGCGCGGCGGGACTTTGGGGACGGCTCCTCGGTCAGCTCGATGAAGGTGTTCTTGGTTCCGATAACTTGCCAGACCTCCCTGTCAGGCTCTGCAGCTTCCTTAGAGTCCATGCTGCTGCTCGCCGGTGTTTGTGCTGGGCTTGTACTAGAGGAAGCTGCAGGTGCAAGTAGCACCGGAGCCCCTTCGGCTTCCTTGGAGCCGCTGCTGCTCGCCGGCATTTGTGCCGAGCCTGTACTGGGCACCGACGCATTCGGTGCAGGGGCAGGCTGTGGAGCAGCCGTAGCCGGAGGCACTCGGCGACCATCACGACCAGCGGAGACTTTGCGAAGCTCATGCTGCCCATGCGCAAACTGGCAGTTCTCGCCACGTGGGCATTGACCATGCCGCTGGAACCTCGTGCAAAGCTGTGTCTTTTGGAGAACAGGAGCAGCCTGCAACTCCGCGAGTGAATGGGCAAAGGAGCAGTTGGCAATGTCTCTGCAAGTTGCGCCGTATCTGCACAGGCGAGTGCAGCGCAGCATCTGGCTTTTATTGGGAGCCATGCCGGAAGCAAAGTTGAGCTGAATGGGCCGAAGAGCTTGAGCTGCCGCTTCGCCGGAGAGCAGTTTGCAATCTAGGCGTTGTTTAAGTTATATATGTATAAACAAACAGATAGTTAGATAATTCTTGGGTTGTTTCTGGCTTCAGCGCCTATGGCTTGTGATCTGGCTCCTTGGCTTCACAAAATTAGAGACACAGAGCTTCAAGACATCTTCAGGCCAGCGCGAACTTGTCTTCTACCAGTCGGACCCACACGATCCAAATTAGGGAACACACTCGATGCTCTCTGAGACTTGCTCAGAACGCTTGACACATGGACTTGATCCTCCTGCCTCATGGTGACTTATTGCTGGGCTTCACCTGCAGCATGCTGCAGCCGGGAATCCAGCGGTACAACTTACAGTAGTAGGTTGTGTGGCCCCTATCGCCAGTAGCCCTTGAATCAGTAGCTCTTGGCATTCAGATGTATGTCTACACAGGGTATTCATAATACAAATCCGCACCAAGCCCGTTCTGAAATCTTGCAAAACCCTTTTTTTAGCACTCGCGCTCGACCAGATCAGAGCCCTTTACACATCAGTAGTTAATCCGTCTTAAACCCTTCTAAAATTTTAAACCCTCGACAATCCGCATTAACCCGTACACTGCAGGACCTTTTAAAACCGGCGTGATCGCCCTAAACCCTAAACCGAAGAAACCCAGCCTCCGCCTGCGCGGCCCTCTCGGCCCCGCGAGCCGCAGCGAGGCGGAAGCCTTCGGCCTGTTTGATTCTTTTTGTCTTCGCGTTGTTCCAGGACCGTTCCAAGTGCCCTTTAAAGGGCTCTGATATTTCTCATTAAGAGGTAAGTTGGGGCTACAATAAAGTGTAGTTGGGGGGTCTAGGATGAGAGGGGTGTTTAGGGTCTAAGGCCTGTTTTTCCCCTCTGGCATGTCTTGGGATGCCCAGAAGGTTTAGGGAGTTTAGGGGCTCAGGTTTGGAATGGCTTCGATTTTAGGGACGGGGGTTAAGGGTGTTTGACGCGGATACGCGGACGAATCCAGGCAAGGTCTGCAGAACAGAGACTAGGGGTCTGGCCACCATCAAGACAAAGTCCACGAGACTGAGATATGAATCGTCGAACATACATGCATACACGTTTGAGTAGATAGATATATGTAACTATCTGCACACATAAACATGTACTCCATAGCTGTACGAGACTTCATACATACATGCATATATATATATATATGTGTGTGTGTGTGTGTGTTACATATATATACAGAAACATCTGTATAGACTTTTTTGCAATATACGTGTAGAAACACACACTCTCTCTCCCTCTCTAAATAGGACAAATAAACAACCACGTATATACATATACAACCATATGTATATGTGTGTATATGTATATATACATATATATATATATATATACATATACACAGTTTTGAATTGAAGGTATATACACGCACACGGACATCATGTGTGTGTGTGCGTACATGGACTTCCCGTGCGAGCCTGTTCGGAGAGGCCTTGCACATATCCCTCGACCCACGGCTCGGCGGCCGCACAGGGCAAAACGTTGACGCATGCGTGGACTTCCTGGCTTTCCGCTTCTGTGGTTGGGGGTTTAGTGATTCTTTCCCCACCCACCCAGCTGACAAAGTCTGGTTTAGGGTGAAGGGTTATATAGGGGATTAGGGTCGACTATGGTCTACTCAGATATCAAATTGCGTCTTGGCTTGTCAGAACGAGAAACCCCGTTTAAAGGAGCCTTACACAGAACAACCTTGATTTACCATGTTGGGTTTTTGTGGCGAAAACCGCAATGCAGGGTTGAGCGATATAGTTGTGTTCAAGGCGAAGGCATTCGAGGACTCTAGTTAGGCCTCTATGTCAGATTCTGGCAATGCCCTACAGTGGAGGTCGCGATGCCGGAATAGAGCACCAGCCCACGTGTCCAATGACCTCCCGATCGCATCATTGCGGCACTCCTCCACGGATTGAACTTGGTGGACTCCCTATTTACGTCTCTCTATAAAATGCTCATCAAGAGATTGAAATCACTAGCCTTGACCCCTAAACTCTATCAACCCTAACCCTACGGACCCCACCCTAAATTCTAGCTTCGAGACCGAGCTTCGATGTGCATTGCCCTGGAAGCAAACTCCAGGCTGCTCAGCGTCTCAGCGGCATGTGATGCACAGGGGCCCACGCAAACGAGCCTTAGCATGCCCACATGAGGGTTTGCACATGGGGACCCTTGAAGCGGAAGAGATGTGCTGGCTTCAGCAGCCAATACCGCTTTGCAAAGTTGCTTTTGGAATGGTTTCCTGTGCACCAATTACGAAGTTGACGAGCTCATGAACTCAATGCACGGCGGCTAAACCCTGGCTGCGCTAAGTCGCCTTGCGCTTTGGATCCATCTTGTCTTGTGTCCTAAGATAGAGTTGCGAACATCCTCTGGCCACGTATCGTTACTATGCAGCCTGAAGCTCTTCATTATTAGAACGCAAGCTGCAAAATCCTGAAACCATCGAGCTCTTGGTAACTTGCGGTGAGCCCGCTACTGGCGGGAGTCGGGTTTGCTATGTTGTCCACTGAAAAACCACACACGACAACACTGTCTGAACAACAGTAACATCTTGAGAAAGCCACATATCTTGTTCGTGATTTATGATAAAAGCTTTCGAGTGCTTTGGTACAGTAGCTGCCTTCAAAAGCCCGAGGCTCGCACATTGCTGTCTTGCAGTTTCCCCCCAGGGAATCAGACAGCATCAGCGTGAGCTTGCCTTCGCGGACTGTAAGGGGCATCTATCCGAGAGCCCTTGGCATTTAGGTCTGTAGGTTGACGCAAGTCCGCTACATCGTGGTGCGTAGTCATGATCTGGGCTCAGCTGTCTCTTTATTACAAAAAATCCAGACATGATTCGTGATGGATCTCTTGAATGTCAAGAACCAGAAGAATGCCCCCCCTTACGAAACCAAACCAACGAAATCCAGCTTCTGAAAACATATGAGCAGAGCTGCTGTCCCGGATGGGGACATGCTGCTTCCGGAAAGCCAAAGCATTGACCACATTCCCTCGGCTCGGACACCTACTGAGTAGAATCCGACCTAACTCTACAGCCGGAGGATGGCTTCGGCTTGCCTTGGATCCTGCTGCAGCTTGAGGTGGGGTGGATGGGGCTGATTGACGCTAGCAACCCACGGGACATTTGTCACAAAACGAGGCATGCAGTTTTTGCGCACTTAGACGCCGAACTGCCTGCCCGATGCAGTCTAGTCTAAAGCCTGGCAAAGAGTAACGGTAACGTGGAGAACATGCTGCTGCACCAAGCGTCCCAAGGCCAGCAGGCTCCGATTGATGGCATTCGTCTCCTTGAGACCTGAAAAGGTTCAAAGTTGAGACCTCGATTCTGGGAGTTGCATTTGGCCCAAAGGCCTGCTATGTCGCAATGTGTTCCGATCCTCAAATCGGGCATGCCGAAGGATTGCCAGCCAAGACGCGAAGGCCCTCAACTTTGCTCTTCTTCGTCCTCTCCTCGGGCAGAATTGTCAATGTTTTTTGGCTTCCCACCTAGCTAGGACGGGCCCAGAGGTACTGATGAAGTTGAGAGTTCAATTCCGACCTTTTGGGTTCAGAGATGAGCCTTGTGGATTCGCAAAAAAAGTAGCATTTGCTTCTGCTCTGAAGCCCGTCTCGGCGCTAATTTGGTGAGTTGAAGCATCCAAGAACTCCCGGCCGGGTGAGAATGTCGAAAGCCTGGCTGCGACTCGAGGGACCACGAAGCCTCATGGCCCGATTTGGTCCCTGATTACCCTCATTAAATACACAAAGCCTAAGTTGCCTCGGCTTTCATACTTTAGCTGTGGAGGGCTAGGCTCAGCCTTTACCACACACACACACACGCACACACGTATGTCAATGCAACAGCACACTCTCAAACACAAAGTCAGGGGCTCATATACTATGTTATACGATACTTATACATGAAACGAAGGATTCCAAGGAATGATCTTACTAACTATTCCGACCCCTACAACTCTGAACACTAACCCTTACAGCCGGATATATTCCTGATAGAAGCCTTAAGGGAACCCCTGAAATGAGCTCCAGAGCCCCTTTATTGCTATTATTAATATATACATGTGTATATATATAATAGCTATAAAGTAAATATTCCTTATAGAAGCTTTCTGGGAACCCCTTAACGGAGCCCTAAAGCCCCCTTTATTACACCCACGTGAACCTGAACCTGAAGATTTCTCGAGAAAGCGTCCGAGCCGGCCAGGTCCACAACCCGCAGAAGAGAGCAGGTGCCTCTGAAGTAGGGTTCAAGGGTTTAAGAGTTGAGGGGTTTCGGCGCTCACTCGGACAATCCAGGCGAGGCATATGGTTCGGAGTTTGACAATGTAAGACAGTCTAGTGGGATGGTCATGACAAGATCAAGCCACGTAATTATGCCAACGCCTAGAGTGACTGTACCTGCTTTGACTGCATCCCTCCCAAGATCCTGCAGAATGAAGCAAGCGGTGGGCTAGTAGGATCTTGGGAATCGTGTAGCTGCAGATCATTTCAGAAAAGGCAAGGGTCGGCAAGCATTCAGTAAGTACAATAATGTTAAGGACCAGGGATGGTCTGGGTAGTAGTAGTGATCTGTCTGTCGTCTTTACAATGACACAAGCACACTGATCCTACCAATGTTGGCCTATCTCAGGTCCTTCCAGTCTGGTTGACCAGAATCAGGCTTCGTTATCTAGTGTAACGTGTGCAACAGTATGGATTTGTGGGAACTACCTTTGTTCATGCACGTGCTGTCATGCGAAACTGTATCTAGATAATATAAAGATAACTTAACCGAAACTAACAGGCGTAGTATAGTTGCAACAACAGACGTAGGATTGCACATGCAGATTGAACTAAGAATTTAATAAGGCGGCTTGTTTAGGAATATGGGCTTCTTTAATGCGTGTTTTTGGGCTAATTCAAACCATTTTTGGTGCAGCGCAATTCATGCGTTTTTTTTGGCGGGGGAATTTTTGGGGGTGACTGTCTGCTAATGGTCAATCTTAATGTGGCGGTCTAAATAGTTGACGCCCCCCCCCCCTCCCGACAAAATATTTTTGGTTGGATTAATTTGGAACCGGTGACCCCTGAGGATCACCAAATGCTGGAAACCAAGCCCCGATCACTCCAAGATAACTACCAAGACTAAAACCCCTTCATTTTGCACACTTTTGCCTCCAACCTACACTCCCACACTCCCATCCACAATCGACCACGTCTGAGGCTTCGTGCGGTACCATAATGGTACAGTAATACAATAGTAGTACAACAGTAAGTAGTACAGTAGAAATACAGTAGTAGGACAGCAGTAGTAAAGTAGTAGTACAGTAGTAGTACGACAGTAGTACAGTAGTAGTACAATAATAGTACAGTAGTACAATAGTAGCACAGTAGTTGTACAGTAGTAGTACGATAATAGCACAGTAGTACAATAGTAGTGCAGTAGTAGTACAATAGTAGTACAACAATAGTGCAGTAGTAGAATAGAAATACAACAGTAGTACAGCAGTAGTACAATAGTAGTACAGTCGTACAGTAGTAGTACAGTAGTAATAGAATAGTAGTACAGTAGGAGTACAGTAGTAGTAAACTAGTAGTACAGTAGTAGTACAAGAATAGCACAGTAGTACAATAGAAGCACAGTAGTAGTACAGTAGTAGTACAATAGAAGTACAGTAGTAGTACAGTAGTAATACAATAGTAGTACAGCAGTAGAACTGTAGTAGTACAGTAGTAGTACCGCAGTAATACAGTAGTAGGTTTAACGGTTGTTATGGTTTAGGGTTTCAGGCGCTGGCTTTATGCTTTGCTTCTTGGGGGAATGTGCTCACTGGCTTTATGCTTTGCTTATTGGTACTATTTCTGTACTATTACTGTACTACCACTGTCCAACTATTGTACTACTGTACACTGTACAACTATTGTACTGCTACTGTACTACCTGTACTATTGTACTACTACTGTACTACTACCGTACTACTACTTTACTGCTATTGTACTACTGTACTATTATTGTACTACTACTGTACTACTACTTCACAACTACTGTACTGCAATTGCACTACTGTACTATTATTGTCTTACTACTGTACTGTACAACCACTGTACTTCTGTGGTACTACTGTACTACTATTGTACTACTATTGTGCTACTGTACTACTATTGTGCTAATTACTTCTTGACTACTACTGTGCTACTACGGTCCTACTACTGTACTACTGCACGACTACTGTACCACTACTTCATTATTACTATATATATATATACTACTGCAATACTTCTGCTGTACGTCACCAAACCAAGCCTCAGACGTGGTCGATTGTGGAGGGGACTGCAACTATGAAGGGTTTTTCGGCGCTCACACTCGGACAATCCAGGCGAGGAAGGGTTTTTAGTCTTGGTAGTTACCTTGGAGTGATCGGGGCTTGGTTTCCAACAGTTGGTGATCCCCAGACCCCGACCGCGCATTGACCCCGGACCCCTGTCCGGGGTCACTGGTACTATTCGGACTGTCGGACTGCCACATTACCTGAATTTACAAGGTACTGCTCTCAGACTCTCAAATCATGTTGGCTCAGCACGTCCTCCTCTGGCAAGACAGTTCTCAAACAGCCATATAAAAGCTGCTCAGTACCATCCGGCTTTGAGTTTCCCGCGTCAGAGTATATGTCAGACAAATATGGTCCATCGGGTATCAGAGCAGCCATGTCAGCGCTACTGACAGCGCGACCAGCGCGGGGCCCAACGGCGGTGGTCTGGCACCACAACCTGCAGCTGCTGTGCAGCCAGTTGCACATTCAAAAATTCGTCCTTTTTCGAAGTGCATGGGCTGGCTGGGCACGGCGTCGGCTGGTCGGGCTGGATGCCGAACGTTCCGAGCTCGGCCACAGTCCCAGGAAACAGGAAACGCACTTGTTGGAAGCGCCTGTAAAGCGCATCTTGCGTGTTACTTTCACCTTGGCTTGCGCCTCCAAGCACGGTCAACTTGAAAAGGTGCTTACTTCCGATCTCTGAGACCATCTTGCCGGGATCGCTGACGCCAGTGATGACGTCACCGACGCAGAGGATCCTTGTCGACCACTGCGCGGAGTTCCTGTTGAACTTATCCACCACACCGTCCAGGAGCAGTCCTTCCACCACAAGGCCCTCTTTCGCGAACTGCACCGTCAGGCCCAATGGCAGAATTCCAGTCTTGGAAAACAGCGTGATGCTGAAGTCCTGCTTCTGGCCTCCCTTCGTCTCCAACACCTTCATCAAGTGGCCTTCGTTCCTCATCGTTTTGACCTGGTTTTGACTGTAGAACTCTTCGTCACCAGCTGTGCAATCGTCCGGAATTGCGACCTCTGTCGCGTCTCTTGCTGCGGCCCACCATCCGCTTGTGCCTGCAGCCCAGTCGCATCCATGGCAACGTGTCTTGCCAATGTGGGTCTTGAGCCGTTGAGGGGTTTAGGGCTGCAGAGATTCAGAGTTTAGGGTTTGGTTTTAGGGCCTTTGTGGTAGGGACGACGCTCTCGGTTTTGGGGATTTAATAGCTTATGGAGGTTCGAAGCAGGAACTACTGTTTAGATATGTCTGAGACTTTAACAGTTCAGGGTTTCGATTTTAACCTCTGTATATAGTACGAACTACTAGGATTACTAAGGGTCCGTAATACAGGTGAGGTTTAGGGTTTGGGCCTCTGCAGTAGGAACTCCCATTTTATGGCCTGGGTGAGGTTTGGTGTTTAGGGCTTAAGGCCAAGATATATAGCAGGAGTTGCGTGGGATTTGGGGTTTAGGGTTTATGCCCTCTGTAGTAGGAGTTACTTGGTGGGTGCACGCGTTCAAGGCACTGCACCCTGAGACCGTGTGCAGCTCGCAAGAACGCATTTCCGTCAAGCATGCTGCCTGGGAACCGTTTTCGTAACATGCAACTCTCTAAGCTTCAAGCGTGATATGCTGATCCTCGACACACGGCGTGTGCTCCTTCAATCTATTTGTACCCGCCGCACGGATGCCTGTCACACCATCTTCCGAGGAAACTCGTCGACGGATCCTGTCACCAACAAAGACTGCAAACAAGAAGCTAGCATGAAGATTAGGGGGTCTCTGGCTTGAAGCAGTTGAGTCGTAATAGCAATAGCAGCAGCTTCTGCTGCACTACAACAAGAAGAAAAGTTCGGAGCTGCTGCTGGCAATGCCAGACCTGCATTACAACAACGTGTGACACGACTAGCTGTTTGAAATAACCCTAAGGGTCCATGTACTCATATAGAGATACATGGGCCCCAATGTACCTATATAGGGACTACATTACGGCCAATGTATATACACTATATGAGTACATGGACCCTTAGGGTAACCCTAGCCCGGACACAGCCGCTGACTGCCTAGACCCCCCAACTACCCTCTAATATACCCCAAAGAGCCACTTTTAGGGGCCCTAAACCCTAAACCCTAAGGACTCTATTAAAGGGCCCTTGGGGGGTCCTGGTGGGCTCCCACCAAGTTTAAAAAAAAGCACTCTGCCGCAAGGATTGCAAGTTTGGAGACGGTTGAAGGTTTAGGGTTCCTTTGAGGGTTCCTTTAAGGGATATATAAGGGATCTATAAGGGTTCCTAGGGTTCCTTTAAAGGGATCTAAAGTAAAAGCCAGAAAGTTGGAATATGACTATCCTAAACCCTTCTATGGTAAATTATAAGGTATCCTACCCTGAAACCATATTCCAACTTTCTGGAGTTCCCTTTAGGGTTCTGGGTTGAGAAGGGTTTTCGTGCAGGAGGGCTGAGGGGTTTTACGACGAAGCAAAGTCCAGTTGTTGATTCTCACACTAGGCCCCAGTGCATACAACTCAGATGTGGCCGCCCCGGACTTGGCATAGGTTACAGGCTCGAAGCGATGTACTATAGGGGCCTTAATAACTAGAATAGGGTTTGGGGGCCCAGTAAACTATCATTACAATAGGGAACCCTACGAATAATGTTGGTAATATTATTTCGGCCCCTATATTGCTCGACTGCCCCCGGACCGGGACCAGAGGGGTCCTCAGCTGGAAGATCGCGTGGCTCCGGCTGGAGGCCTGCACGCTGAACGTTTCGCCCATCGTTGGTTCATAAGGGCACTTCGAACCCCACGACGTGTGATTGGGCCTGCAACTTGGCCCAAGATCCTGAAAACCTTACATTTGGCTAGTGGGGAATGGAGGAACGGGGTACAATTATAACTGCTACAGTATTACTACCATTCTTCCATTCCCTACCAACCAAAGGTAAGACACAGAACCACCCATCCTCCAGCACCTCCGCACAATCGCCGAAGAATCCATGATCGAGCATGATCAGGAGTTTCCATTCACAGTCTACTGCTTCCCTAGCTATGAAACACCATACATCTTCAACATCAGCACTGCAATCTCTCCAGCCTGCCTTGTTCATTTGGGTTTCGGCATATACCAGATTCTGGCCTCAGCTGATTTGGGAGTTTCCGAAAATGGGGGACCCGAATATAGTACCCTAAATAGTGGGATCCTCATTATAAGGACCCCCAAACTAAGGTACCCCTACTTTTTGGAAACTCTGATTATTTCGGAGTCAAGTGTCTCGCCTCTCCCTCGAGCCTTGCCTGCCTGGTGCAACCTTAAGGGTTTAGGGTTTAGGGTTTAGGGTTTAAGGGTTTAAGGTTTAGGGTTTAAGGGTTTAAGGTTTAGGGTTTAAGGCTGAGGGTTTACGTAAGGTTTAGGATGCAATAGGGGGGTTCCTGCGTATTGCCTGTTGATAAACTGCCCATTGCAGTCTTCTCTCAGCAGTCGTCTCGATCCCGGAACTACTGCAAAGCCAGCGGTTTGCTAAGTTTACTAGGTGCGGAGGGTCTCCAACATGGGGGTTTCCGAAAATAGGGGACCCTAATATAGCACCCTAAGTAATAGGATCCTTATTATAAGGACCCCAAAATAAGGTACCCCTAATTTTCGGAAACTCCCACATTGCTAGACTGCTAGACCCAGGCTCTCCAGGCAGGGAGTGCATACAGCCAGGGAGCAGAGCTAGACTGCTAGATTTGAAGCCTAGTGCCGCTGCCCAGATACCCCCAAGACAAACATCCAAGACCCTAGGTTTGCTTTACTAGTTCCACAACCCTGGTCGAGCCGCGGAAAACACCCCCCTGTACCCTAAAGCACTGAAACTTTTAAGTTCAAGGACCCTGTGTTCAACATCCGCCGGCTTCAAATGTTACTGTTGAGAGTAGAGGGGAAAGGACCATGAAAGCATCGTCTGCCTGCATAACGACCCCTATAAGTAGGAGCTAGGGATGACCCTTAAGGATACAGACTCTCTCAACAAGGTCCCTCCTAAGAGAGCCCGAAGTAGGGCTAAGAGGACAGGCTGGTCCATGGGTATAAGGGTTTAGGGTTTCATGAGCCACGAAACCGGACCCTGAACAGGAACCAAAGACAAGCAAGATGCCATGTGGGAAACAATTGTTCAACACTAGTACAGGTTGTCGCTGAAAGTTATACTTCTTTCAGCAGTGCCGCGGCCTTTTGCTCACTGGGAGGCTGCGCAGCTTCCGGACTGTCTGCTTCGTTGTCCGTTATGAACTAACAAGTAGTAGCACATACGTCCGCAATGTATTCGGTTCTGTTCTTCGGTATAATACCTCAGAAGCTCATTGACTACGACTACGACTTACGATGGGCGCTGCAACGTCAGCGCAAGTGCCGCGCGCTCACGGGCAGTCGAGCTTCGGAGAGCATCCCTGCGATTGAAACTTCGGTTCTTCTGATTTTCTCCCTCCCACCTATGGTTACGAAAGAAGGCCTGTTTCCAAGATTACACTTAAATTATACATGGCGAGACTCCACACGCTGTTTGATGAGGTTGGAAGCCGGGGCCAGTAAACCTGTTGGAACTTACTGCCGGAGTTCGGAAACTGGGTTTCGACTCACACACTCGCACAAGCCAGGCATGGCTTCAGGCACTGGGTCCACTGAGCTTGCTACTTGTACACCACGGGACACAACAAGGAAATCAACACCAAGACCACATATACACGGCAGCCTGAAACTTGATATTCCCAGAAGCTGGAGCAAAATCTCGGCTTATTTTGTACGAGCATGGGCCGTTTCAGAAGTAGACGTGCCATGTTTAGGGCCCGTGTGTAGTTAAGGATCCTGGGATCCTGCCGTTCAGGGTTCCACTTTCTGCAACCTCCACAGGCAGGGACCCACGACGAAGGCGACCCCAAAGCTGCAAACGGCCAAACCCAAACTATGGGAGCATCCTACCGTCTCTATACCATACTATATGCGAGAGAACTTTGTAAACTTAGGATCCTCGTCCACGAACCCGAAACTCTGCAACAGAAGTTGGGCCTAGTTCCTGCTTCAGGTTTTAGGGCTTCGGAGCCAATGCAGCATGCACGACATGGAAAAACACCCACGAGGACAGCTGTCAACATTAAGTAGTCGCACTAGTAGCCGTGATGGTGGTGGTTGTGGTGGTCGTGGTGGTGGTGGTTAATATTAGGTAGAAAAAGAAGACGCAGCAGTCGCAGACGTCGTCGTGGTAATCCGTAGTAGTCGTCGTCGTACTGTGGCAGCAGCAGAAGGCGCAGGAGGAGGAGGAGGAAGACGAGGAAGCAGGAGACGTCTTATCAAGCATAGAGAGAGAGAGAGAGAGAGAGAGAGAGAGAAGCAACAACAATAGATGCTGGAATGCTGCGTCGACAGCAGGCATCTACAACTTACCTTTGGTTAGTAGGGAATGGAGGAATGGGGTGCAATTATAACTACTAGTACTACCATTCTTCCATTCCCTACTAACCAAAGGTAAGACAAGCGCAGTCGAGGAACAGCAGGTCGCCCTGCTGCGCCAGCTCGCGAAGCTGGTCCGAACCACCTAGCAAGACCTGAGCTTGCATAGGTTAGGTACTGCCCCCATAAGTCTATAATAAGGCTACTATTTAGGTCCTAATTTATCTATATTATGTATACTATCCAACTATTACTGAGTGGGGCCGTACCCAATGCAGAGGACAAGTTGGCCTGAAGCATAACAAAATGCAGCCATGTAAGCCTTGGCCATGCATGCTCGGCTCTGGCGCTGTATAAGTTTGATTAAGTTTGCAAGCGATAACATGCGGGCATGGGCCACAGGGCTGCTGCTGAGACGAGTCTCGGGCTAGGGTGTTCGGGAGTTTCGATAAAAACACGACGATCAGCTCGGGCGATCTTTCTGCGCTTCGGATCGAGCACTAGCTCACTAGCGTTCGAGTCGGGGGTTTAATGCCGCGAGTGTCGCGACACGTAGAGGACAATATGATGATGACAAGTGATACAAACTCTGAGCTGGAAGGCACAAAAGAAGCGGCGCCATATCTATGCTGCCGATGCCTACACCGTGTACGAACGTGCATCCAGTACATTACATGTATACGTACCAATACCTACCTACCTACTATGCGCAGCTACAAGTACGGCATGTCTTGGCCTCGATTTAGGCTTCCCCTACCCCCCCCCCCCTCAGAAAACGGACTCTCCCAACTGGCTTCTAGTGGCTACAATGCCAACTTTTCGTGGTGAACCGCTGCTCCTCTCGCACTGCTTCATGACCCTCGGATGCCATGGCATGCGAGCTTCACGCTTGCATCAGGGGCTGCGTTTTGTCCCTACTGCGGGTTCAGGGTTTCGGGTTTAAGGCCTATCGGCCTTGCTAGGCTTTCGGGTTGCTGCTTCCGAAACAATGCACCTGCTTCAAGCACAGCCGGGCCGAGGCGGACGACGCGAACGCGTTCAAAATTATTATACTTAAGCTGTGGCATTGGAAGTTGTTCAAAATCGCGTCTCATCCGTATCATCTCAAGCTTTCAGATCGTTGCCCCAATCCAGACATATTCAAACCAACTTCCAAAATTGAAACCAAAGATCCATGCTGCCCAGCAGCGCCTTCGGCGTACAACTGAGGAAAGGTTGGCCAACGAGCCTGGCAGAACAGAAAGAGTACCAGTGTTCAATCGCCCTCCCAGTCCGGCGAAAATCCACCCTTCTACGAAGCTACCTACTTCGGGATTGCCGACGTGCCAACAGCTTGTTTCTTAAAGTATCTTACAAGATTCTATCAAGGATATCCTCAAAACAGACAAGCCATGCGACTGCAGTGTAGATGCCAGGGCTTAAGCGCCACACCCCGTCCCGGACGTCTAGACTAGTCTACACCATAAAGCCCAAACCACGAAAAGGCACAGAGTGAATGCCTGAAGTGAACACAATCGGTTTAGGGTGTAGCGTTCCCTGATAAACCATGAACCACGACAGCGCCCTAAACCATCTCTGACAGCGTGTCCTGAAGTGCCAGACGGAGTGATGGCTGCTCGAGGACATCCACATGGTCGAAGTCGACGCGATGCTCCTTCCGTTAACGCAGGACGGTCGCAGCTGTGGCCAGCCCTAAAGCGTTTCCATACATCACATATGTAAATAAAAACGCATATACATATCATGTTTATGTAATTATGCCGGCATTATGGTTTCGTGGGAAATACAGAGAGCCTCGGGCCTGTGAACGCTGCACTGTGCTGCTTTCTCGTGGATGCATCCAGGGTGTGAGAGTGCTGGAAGTGGTTGGTAAAGCATCGAAGGCATGCACCTGGAACTGTTGGGAATTCGAAGCGTTGCAATTCATTCTGAAATTCCTTTGGAAAGCCACGGTGAAATTCCTTTGAAAAGCCAAGGTGTCGCAAAGATTCCGTATCTTCAGTAGAACGTCCGCAGGAAAAGGGTCGCAAACAAGTATGTACACATCCGAAAATATGCATGTTTATATGTATATATACACAGACACAGATACATGTGCGGTTATAGATATGGATAGAGACAGATGTGTGTATACATATTAGTATATATATATATATATATATACATATATATATATATATATATGCTCCCCCCCCCCCCCCAGGACCTACCTCGAAGCCTCTTCTTGTACTGTCTAGACGACGTTGCGACTCCACTCCGAACAAAACTGTAATATACTGCGTAGTCTTCACTGCCTACGACGACACGACACCGTTCGAACCAAAACAATACCATGAAGTATTGTCTACTGTCCTCTGTATGCTACGCTATTTAACGGCGCGCTCCTCCTGATGTTCCTTTCTTGAACCGTGATCTATAGGGTATAATTTTTGGCTCCCACTTGGCTGGTCGAAGACCGCATTGCAGGTCACATAGGGTATATTAGAAGCTATTGTAAAAGGTATGTTAAAAGGTATTCTGGAGGATGTTCTATGAGGTATATTTGGGGTATACACAAGATATATTCCATAGGCGGTCTTCTGTAAGGATGGTATTCTATAGGGCATTCTATAAGGTATTCTAGAGGGTACTCCATAAGGTACTGTACAGAAGGCATTCTGCGGCTTATATGTAGGAAGGTATTCTATAGGTATGTTTTATGAACTTCATTAAAGTGCATAGAGATTGTATTTTATAATGGATAGTTTTCCTGGTTCCTGATTTCTTCATAGGAATCCCTTACCCAAAAGCTGCAATTCAACTAGAAATTCTCAGATCTTGGGCTCCGGCTGGCTTTCCATATTTGAAACCAGTATCTATAAGGTACTGTTAGGGTTTTCTATAATGGATTCCAAAAGGTAATCTACATGGTACTGTACAAGTATTCTATATGGCATACATAAGGTACACAGGATGCATCAAATAGCGGCGCTCTCCTTCAAAGCATTCAACGGGGTATTACAGATGGTATTATATAACGTGTATGTAGGGCAAATCGGTTGAAAAGGTGGTTTAAAAGGCATTCTATAGGGTATGTGCAGCATGTGTTTCAGAACAGAAGAGCTCTTTTTTCTGTATGTATCCTTTGCTAGATAAGCATCGATTCTGAAGGAATTTCTAGATCCTATATTCCGCAATTCCTTGATATGAATCCATTGCTAAATAAACCACATTCATCTGGGGAACTCTCAAGTCTTGGGTGTACAAGGTGTATAGGGATATAGGAACATTATATAACGTATTAGCGTGCTATACATGAATTTCTTTACGGTTTGTAAAAAGGGTATTCCGTAAGGTATTCTACAGGCATAAATGTCCGTTGCTCAAAAAGCTGCAAGAAGCTTGGGCTCCTTCTGATTTACTTTACGTACATCCTGATCTATACGGTTTTTGTCGGGTATCCCGAAAGGGGGTTCTCAAGGGCATGTATAAGGTACAAGGGGGGTATCATGCATAGGGCGTTTAAGGTATTACCGTGTTCTACATGAGTTTCTTTACGGTTTGTAAAAAGGGTATTCTGTAAGGTATTCTACAGGCATAAATGTCCGTTGCTCAATAAGCTGCAAGAAGCTTGGGCTCCTTCTGATTTACTTTACGTACATCAGGGGGTTCTCAAGGGCATGTATAAGGCATAAGGGGGGTATCATGCATAGGGCGTTTATAATACATTCTGTAAAATATTCCAAATGGTATTCTAAAAGGCTCATATAGGGTATATAGGAGATAAACAAGGTATTCTATGGGGCAGTTTATAGGGTATCCCAAACTGTAACGTATAAAACATAGGGTGTATATATAGGACAGATTTCTATAAGGTGTTTCATGAGATACAGGGTATTCCATGAGGTATGTGAAACAAAGTATATACTTCATAAACTCCATATGGTACGACCTGAGTATTTTCTATGAAATCCTGGAAGGGATAAGGGGGTCTTCTATAGTGGACTTGGAAGGATATTTGTTTACAAGTAGGTTCCTGATGTCCACCATGGGAACCCGTTACCCAATAAGCTATAACTCAGCTGGACATTCGCAAATCTTCGGCTCCGATTGATGTTCCATATTTACACCTATCTGTACAGTCATTATTTTATTTATGCTCACAAGGACAGGACTGGAGCTGGAAGTACAAGATCACTTGATTTGGATTAGCTGCAGCTTGGGTCATCGCACATTTGTTGTCATGCGATCAAACTGTCAAGCACAGCAATCCATTCGCATATCTTCACTGCAGGAGTGGCCATGTGGCACATAAAATGGCAAACCGATATGTATTTGAAAACTAAAATTTAATGCAGCCAGGCCCGTGGAACCAAGGTGCCCAGGAGTCTAGAATCCTGAATCTTGGTTCCACGGGCACCGGCCGGGCTGCATTAAAATCTGCAATAAAAGATTAAAACTTAATGCAGCCCGGGCCGTGGAACCAAGAACCAAGAACCAAGATGCCCAGGAGTCTCGAATCCTGAATCTTGGTTCCACGGGCCTGGGTGCATTCATATTTCATTTGTTAATGCAGATTTTAATGCAGCCCGGCCAGTGCCCGCGGAACCAAGATCCAAGATTCAAGACTCCTGGGCATCTTGATTCTTGGTTCCACGGGCCGGGCTGAATTAAAATTTAATTTTTTAATGCAGACTTTAATGCAGCCCGGCTGCCCGCGGAACCAAGATCCAAGATTCAAGAGCCCTGGGCATCTTGGTTCTTGGTTCCACGGGCCGGGCTGCATTAAAATTTAAATTTTTTAATGCAGATTTTAATGCAGCCCGGCCAGTGCCCAAGGAACCAAGATCCAAGATTCAAGACTCCTGGGCATCTTGGTTCTTGGTTCCACGGGCCGGGCTGCATTAATCTTTTAATGCGGGTTTTAATGCAACCGGGCCTCTGGTATAGTCATGTTCTTATACACTAATCTTCGTATACCCTAAGGTCCATGTTGCATGTGTGTGTGCGTGCGTGTGTGTGTGTGTGTGCATGGGTAATGAATTGTGGTATCATATATGTAGACAGACAGGTTTGGAGGTAGGTCCTGGGGGGGGTACCATATAGATATACATATATTTACATATGTACATGTGCAGGTCTGAGTGCAAGCGAAGACAAACATTCAGTCTTCGATAAGTCGATCTGCATATTTCACAACAGCTGATCCTTTTCAGATCCCACCAGGTCGACATTTTTGCATAGGCATCTGGTTGTCTTCGCTTTGTGATTACTGTAATTAGCCGCCTCATTGATTACTATTTTGGGGGCTCCTGACTATAATTCGAATGTAATGGGCCGCAAAACCGTATTCCAATTATTACGGCTCCTATATAAAGTTCTGGCCCGAGTCGCTCGCAGAATCTGCACGGCCGCCCGGGAGAAGCGGCAACGGGGAGAGTCGGGTGAGCCTCGCATAGAGGGCACCACTCGCGAGAGCAATGGGCTTGCCGCTTCCGGTGCAGGGCATTTAACAGAAAGAGGCCTCAATATTAATAGACTAGTCCCGAAAACCTAAAAATAGAATAGCGAATAGTGTTTGGGGGGCTTCGTCCTCTAAGCCGGGTCTCTGACCCCCCTGAAACTTTCGATGCTGCTTATATCAAGGCCGACCGCCACAAGGCACCCTAAAACCCTAAACCCTGGCTCGCGCGCCTTTCATGAAGAGAAGTATCTTGCTCGAGCTGAGGAGCTCCTGGCATTTGCCCCACAAGTTGGATACCCTTAATATAGCTATTATATACCCATTATATAGCCCATTATAGGCTAGGGGTCCTTCTTAAAGGTCCCACAAGTTGGATACTGCAGGATTAGGAGTTTAGGGACAAAGTTTAGGGTTTAGGGTTTCGAACCAAAGCCTGAACCCCTACCCCTACCTAGACCCTCAAAAGCAGGTAAAATAATGGCCCCCCAAGCCCTGGCAGGGGCTCGTGCGTACGACATGAATCACATACGAGGAAGACAATCTGCCATATGTGAGTTTCCGAAAATAGGGGACCCTGATATAGTACCTGCAATAGGAGGATCCTTGTTATAAGGACCCCAAAATAAAGTACCCCTAATTTTCGGAAACTCCCATAATAATATGTAGGGTCATGAGTCATGACGACGCTTTCAGGTCCTCCACCTCCTCCTCGGATGCAGGTGTGGTCGAGGGATCCGGTGGAGCGTGTGCCGAGGACTTACACCTCAAACTCAAACGAGAGTAATCGGCAGGATCTGTCTAGCCTAGTCTATTCATCCAATGATTTAACTATCTACCTATCTACTAATCCACCTACGCATCTGCCACGAATGCTTTCTATGCCACGGACGGTGAAAGCACCGCAGTTTGGAGACCGCTACGGAAGACTAAACTTCGCTGCACAGGATCGGCTTCTTCGGCGTCGGAGGCGGGTGAGGCTCTTCGCACCAGGACGCACCTGGAGTGGCTTAGGGTTTAGGGCTTAGGAGTTTAGGGTCAGAACAGAATGGTCAGTCCAAGATAAGGGTTATTCTGAAGGCATGGCATGGAGTACAGGCCAAGGCTAGGGGAAAGAAACGGTTTGGACATGCCATGTGCCTGCTCACTGGAGCATGCACTGCTGCTACCGCAAATGCTTCTGCTGCTGCTGCTGCGGCGAGCAAGACTGACTAGAGAACCAGTGCCCCGAAAGCGTATGGAGCATCCTGGTAGTCAGCTGAACGACACCTCACATCATATCATCGATCCATCGATTCCTTCATCCCTCCATGCATCAGTTTATCCGGACATCGGTCTACCAACCCATCCAGCCATCCAGCCATCCATCAATCCATCCGTTCATCCACACGCTATAAACCCTTCTACATACCGTTCCATCTACAAAAACAAGCGGAACTTGTTGATTTTTATAGTTTTGCACGGATTTCTTCATGTTTCTTGGATGTTTGTGCTGCACGCGTTAATTTTCCTTTTTTAATGGAAAAACACTGAGTAGTGACAATTTTAATAACTTCATGAATGAAAACAGTGAAAATGGAACCAGATCACTGTAAAATCACTAATCACTACTGTAATTAGTTCACAAATCAGACTATTTAATCAGTAATTCAGTGGTTCGATAAATCCAAATCACGAATCAACTCGCAAATCAAATCACTATTCAATCACTATTTTCGTGAGTCGATAAATCCGAATCACGAATCACTAATTAGTTCACACATCAGATCACTAATTAATCGCTACAAAACATTCCAGGATTTCCAATGATTCCAATGCTTGCCACTCCCTGCCAACCTTACATATAACCCCTTCAAGCTATATACTCTCTTTCCATACATCATTCCAATAAACCCTTCTACAAACTACAAACTCTCCTATGAATTACTAGGACACCCTTCCACAATCACTGTAAACCCATGAAAAGCAAGTTACAACCTTCCATATACCCTTCCTGAAATCCCGCCAGTAGGATTGTCAATTTAGAGCTCGCTTCTTTGCGGCACCACTGCTTGCGCAGTGCGATTTCGCAAGACCAAGGCGGGATTCAGGGGCACTGCCGAAAAGTTTCTCCCCAGGTTCTGGCGGGAGCGGACACTTCTAGGCTGATTGCAGCAGAGAACGACCACCCACTGGTTATGCCGCATCCACAGAGGGGGCAGGACCAGCACCACGTATACTACAATACTCCTACTCCTCCTCCTGCTGCTACTCTACTGCTGCTGCTGCTGCTGCTGCCACTGCGTCCTCCCCTGTTACTCACACCTCCACGGCAGTCGAAAACACTGCCGCGGCAACGCCGAGTGGGTTGGGGACAGACAGCTATGATGATAACACGCTCTTGCTACAATAGCCAAACAAGATTCCTCTCGGCCATGCATCCGGACAATTATCCACACAGGAACCTCCGAACTTGAAATGCAATCCACGCTTGGACCCTGAACCAGCAAAAAGACACTAAAAAGACCAAGGCGCCCCAAACCCGGCTATGCACAGTAGCGATAGCCACTGCGCCTACAGCAGGCCGCCATCGGGCGGCAAATCGCAGCGGTGCCGCGAAGCGTGCTCTCATTGAGGGTCTTGTCTCAGACTCACACACTGCCAGAGGGACTCTAAGCCGCGAAGAACCTGTTTTGGTGGGTTGAGGGTTGAGGCAAGTTGAAAGATTTGCACCACAGGCGGGCTTTACGAGCTTTACAACTGTATGACCCTGTATGCCTTACCAAACTATCTGGTTCGTCGCACTTGGCAGCAGAACGCTTCGGTGGGATGCAGCTTCATCGCTGACGCGGTGTCCGTGGCTGAGTCATGCTTGTCTCTTCGTCTGTCTGTCGATTTCTCTGTCTCACACTCTCGTCTCGCTTGATTGTCTCTCCCTGTCTCTCTAGACCTGTCTTTCTCAACGCTAACGCCTACCTTAACCCTGAAGGACCACCTTTTTGAGGACTTATTTATAAGTCAATCATCATAAGGAACCCTTAAAAGGTAGGTTATTCAGGATTATAAGGTACACCCTATAAGGCCTACGTTTGAGTTGTGAAGGATGCTAATCAGCGGTTCAGCTGGAGAACAGGAAAGCTGCCGCAGATGCACAAAGGGTTTAGGGTTTCGGTTTAGGGTTTAGGGTTTAGGGTCAGCTCCGAATCGACAGGGCTGCGGAATTTAGGATTTAAAGGGAACTCCAGAAAGTTGGAATATGGTTTCAGGGTAGGATACCTTATAATTTACCATAAAGGGCTTAGGAGAATCATATTCCAACTTCTGGCATTTACTTTAGGGTTTAGGAATTGGTGTCCCGGTCAGCTTGGGACCGCATTTTGTAGGATAGCTGATAGCTGAAAGTTCAGGGCGGCGGTCAAATACAAAGAAAAGCTTAGAAGATTTGAGCGTGAGCAACATGAGCAACATAGATGCTGCTAGATATATTGAAACAGAGAGACGTCTAAGTTCAAGCCATGCCGGACACAGCCATCTTAGCCCCGGATTCAAGACTGCAGGGTTGGGAAAAAGCTAGGCCGAGGCAAGATACGATCAGGAGGGTTTCAGTGCATGTCTGGCTGCAGGAAAGCATTGCGAACACTGGGCCCTGCGACGTGCTCGATGCACAAGATCTGTAAGATCAAGGGGTGTGAGGCACCTGCACCGGTTCTGAGGGTGAGGGCATGGGGTTTCGAGTACAGGCTATGTAGGGTTTAGAGTTTCAGAAAGGGATGCTCTGGGGGCTCCGTTTTCCCACACAGTGGATTTCAAGGGTTTCTTAGATGACCAGCTCTTACACATCGATACACCACGACAAGCTTATACAATGGACACACGCATCATCGGCTGTGTTGCATTCCTGTTGTAGTCATCAACGCTGGGTCGTTCAAACAGTCTGACGGAGATTCGTATCTTGTGCTATATGAGTTGTCGGGTGGGTTATACAAACTTTCTACATTACCCGAATCTACAAGGTTTATACCTTTTAATTTAATCAAAAACTACGAAATGAAAAAGTAGCTTATGGCGAGTTGAGGTATAGAGTTGAGGAATGAAGGATTGCAAAGCATCTTGGCTGGGAGCATTGGTGTTGGTTGCTTGGCAGGCTCTTTTGCCAAAGAACCTCCCATGAGGCTCTTACCCGCAGCGACGCAAACAACGCAATCAGCGGCAGCACCCCTAGAGCGCCCGTGAATGAAGCCCGAATAGCAATCTAATGTTTTCCAAGTCAAGGGAACTCCAGAAAGTTGGAATATGGTTTCAGGGTAGGACGGGTAGGATACCTTATAATTTACCATAAAGGGTTTAGGATAATCATATTCCAACTTTCTGGCTATTGCTTTATTAACCTGAAGAGCCGGAGCGATCTCGTGACTGCAGAGCAGGTATTTCAGCCACACATCCTGGACCTGAAAACCCTGCCCCTCTCTCTCTCTCTCACCTTGACTTTCTCTCCAAAGCATTCTAAAGCAAAAAACCCTCAAACCTTAAAACCGTCAACCAATCCGAAAGAACTTCTAAAACCTCAACCCGCGAAAGAGAAGCGGACCTCTGCCAAGTCAGCGCAGTGGTGCCAGTGCTCTGCACTGAGAGGTTCCTTGCCGGATGCCCAGGGCTTAGGGCTTCTGGGGGTTTCACACCGTATACGAATTTCAACTGCATCCATGTAAGGTTGTTACATAAGCTTGCATAGGGTTTCGCAGTGTGCTATTGCGGCCTGCATTTTCGGGTGCAGTCCCTGAAGGTGCTCGGACCGAGTGCATTTGGGACGCATGGCAGGGCGATCAAAAGCCCCATCAGACTCGACTATAATCTCTAAACATCTCAAACCGTAGCGCTGACAAGATAACCTTCGCGGATAATTCTAGGGAAGATACTACCCCATGGAGGTGAAAGCATACCTCTAATTATACTAAGAAACGCCAAAAACGTATTAGTAATTATTTAGGACACCATGTTCCCTGATAGATCACAGGTGCTTTGCGAAGTTCGGGTCCTGGACGTAGCAGCAGGGTCGCAAGGTAGATGTGGGTAGTTGTCAATGTTAGGGTCCCTTCTTGGGTCTCTATTATGATACGGCTATTACTTAGCATACCCCAGAAGGGGCCATTGTTTTGACAACCACCCATGTGGAGTCTTGCTTTGATAGCTTCGAACCCTGAGAGGCTTGCCTGAAGAGGATTCTGGCACCTGATTGGTCGGAACTTGGCCGGGTTTCATCTGGTTATTCGGGTCTACCCTGAACCCTCTCTACCCTGAACCCTAAACCGCTAAACCCTAAACCCCCAAACCCTAAACCGCCCTCCCAGAAGCCAAAACTTTTGACAAGCTGCAACGATGCGTGCTTGCCACAGGTCTGTCAGCTGCACTCTCACCGTACTGCGAGGCCAACTTACGAATTTCAAGCATCTGGGAGATCCCACACTATGACTATGGGTTTCAGAACATGCACATCGCAATCCAGAGAGACGGAGTGTGCTGCTGAGCAAGCAAACCTCAGGCACCAGAGAACGAGATGCAGACTGGGTTCGCAAGTGTGCGCACCAGTTCGACACCTTCTTACTAACTTTCAAAGTGCATGTCCGCACGCACAATGCTCCAACAAGGACAGATGAGCTGTCGCAGAGACGAAGGGCTTCGTGCACCCTCTTTCTCCGTATTGCGGCATTCATGTACGGATCTCATCGCACTGGGAGTGACGAACTCGTTTGATGCTTGAAGTTTTGTGTGCCGCTTGGCACAGCTCAGCTGCCCCTGAGGTAGCTTACAAATCGACAATGCAATCCACTGTGTGGTGCATCCTGTACAATTGCGAGCGGAACTTGCACTGGATTCCAGACACGCAGGCAAGTGAAGGTGCGGATCGAATCAAATCTTGTCTGTGAAGCATGCCCGAAGCCCGAACAGATTTCATATTACCTAGACCCTCAAAAGTAGGCAAAATAATCACACAAATAATCACACTAAACTTATAAAGGGCCATTATTCTACATACTTTTGGGGCTCATATTAACGTGAAGCAAGCTTTACTTGCCCAGCCTGCTGGGCATCATCTCAGCCTCTCAGCCAGGACCCCGGACCTCATCGCACGCTGGAGTCCCTCACAGCGCAGAGGCCTCAGAGGTGTTCTTGGTCTTGTAGTCGGCGATGGCTGCCTGGATAGCCTCCTCGGCCAGAACAGAGCAGTGGATCTTTACTGGCGGCAGCTTCAGGTGCGAAGAGATGTCGGTATTCTTGATCTTCGACGCCTCCGTGATGTTCTGTCCGATGATCATCTCCGTGGCATAGGAGGAGCTAGCGATAGCTGAGCCACAGCCGAAGGTCTTGAACTTGGCATCCTCGATGGTGCCGTCTTTGCCCACCTTCACCTGGAGCTTGATCACATCACCACAGGACGCCTTGCCGACCAGGGCAGACCCGACGCTCTTGTCCTCCTTGTCCAGGGTGCCCACATTGCGGGGGTTGTTGAAGTGGTCGTGCACGACCTCGTGGTATCCACGCCGGGCAGCCACGGCAAAGCGGGGCGCGACGAGAGGAGCTGCAGCGCGACGAGAGAGGATGCTGAGAGACATGATTTCCGGGCTTGCGGGGAAAATCAAGGCCGCCCCTGATCAGAAGCCTGGCGAGATCTTACAACTCCTCGAGCCCGAGCAATTCAGCAGCAGCTGCTGAAGCTCTCGATTGATATGCTATAAGATGTGGACACTCAGCCATTAAGCACAGTTCGACTTCTCCGATTTGTTCTTTAGCCTGACGGCTGGAGGGGGTCTTGTCAGCCGTGCTCTGAATCTCCATCAGCACAATAGCAAACACATGGTTATACAGCTTGACAACCTGCACCGTACAACATGAGCACTCGGAGAAACAAAGTCTCATGCTGACAGCCAGGCGCCGGAGGCTACAGGGCACGTTCACGTCTCCAACGCCTGCCGAATGAGAGTAAAACCACCTGCCAACATGCGGTGTAGTGAAATACTCAACGATCCAAGAAGGTGGAGCTACAACACGCTTGGTCGTGACTATCATGACTCGATTTCGGGTCTGTTGCTTGCAAGTGCAAGACAGTAGCCAACCTGCTCCTGGGCTGTGGCTTGAAGGCCTTTCACTGCGGTTTGCGGGCAGTGAACGGCTTCCTGTACAAGTGCCGGCCGATTGGAGCATCGCCAAATCAAGGCCTACAAAGTTGTGATAACCGACATGGGAACTAATGATCGATATCAGTGCTTTATTTGTGCGGTCATGGCATGTAGGAGGTTTGACGAAGGATGCAACACAAGTACACGTTACTTCCACATGTTTCATTGGCATCGGCTCAACCGGGACCTCATCGCACGCTGGAGTCCCTCACAGCGCAGAGGCCTCAGAGGTGTTCTTGGTCTTGTAGTCGGCGATGGCTGCCTGGATAGCCTCCTCGGCCAGAACCGAGCAGTGGATCTTTACTGGCGGCAGCTTCAGGTGCGAAGAGATGTCGGTATTCTTGATCTTCGACGCCTCCGTGATGTTCTGTCCGATGATCATCTCAGTGGCATAGGAGGAGCTAGCGATAGCTGAGCCACAGCCGAAGGTCTTGAACTTGGCATCCTCGATGGTGCCGTCTTTGCCCACCTTCACCTGGAGCTTGATCACATCACCACAGGACGCCTTGCCGACCAGGGCAGACCCGACGCTCTTGTCCTCCTTGTCCAGGGTGCCCACATTGCGGGGGTTGTTGAAGTGGTCGTGCACGACCTCGTGGTATCCACGCCGGGCAGCCACGGCAAAGCGGGGCGCGACGAGAGGAGCTGCAGCGCGACGAGAGAGGATGCTGAGAGACATGATTTCCGGGCTTGCGGGAAAATCAAGGCCGCCCCTGATCAGAAGCCTGGCGAGATCTTACGACTCCTCGAGCCCGAGCAATTCAGCAGCAGCTGCTGCAAGGTCTCCATTGTCGTGCTACATCAATCGACATCATGCCACGCTACCAAAACGACACTAAGCCCGTGCATGCTGTCGCTTTGGATTTTCCTCAAGCCTAACGGCAAGAGTGAGTCTTGTCAGAAGTGCTCTGAATCTCCAGCCCAAAACAAGAAACACTCGCTATCAGCTATCACTTGCGGCTTGACAACCTGCCACTGCCATGGATAACTCGGAGATACAGCGTCTACTGCTGACAACCAGGCGCTCGAGGCTGAAGGACTCATTTCAGTCCCCAACGCCTGCCGAACTGGCTCCAAGGCATGCGCCAATGTCTTCACAGCAAGGGTTGACTGGATGTAGCATGCACACCTATGCTCACTTACTGTCCATGCTGAATCTGCTGTTTTGCTAGGCATGCCGGCAGCTTTGAAATGCTTCAACAAGGAAAGCTGAGCTGCGCGTGGTTCTCTCTTACATGGAAGTTTGGTGAGCTCAGCTTCCCGTCGGTTGAACTGAATGATCAACTTGAGTCGTGGCGAAGGGCAATCCACAACGGCGCAGTCGGTGGAAAGCTTCCTGTACAATTTCCAAACCTTTTCACACTGGCTCATGGGCTCACTCTAGGCAACAGCTGTGAGCTGTGAACCAAAACCTCCATGACATGCCATGCCGAAGCCGCGACCTCATCGCACGCTGGAGTCCCTCACAGCGCAGAGGCCTCAGAGGTGTTCTTGGTCTTGTAGTCGGCGATGGCTGCCTGGATAGCCTCCTCGGCCAGAACAGAGCAGTGGATCTTTACTGGCGGCAGCTTCAGGTGCGAAGAGATGTCGGTATTCTTGATCTTCGACGCCTCCGTGATGTTCTGTCCGATGATCATCTCCGTGGCATAGGAGGAGCTAGCGATAGCTGAGCCACAGCCGAAGGTCTTGAACTTGGCATCCTCGATGGTGCCGTCTTTGCCCACCTTCACCTGGAGCTTGATCACATCACCACAGGACGCCTTGCCGACCAGGGCAGACCCGACGCTCTTGTCCTCCTTGTCCAGGGTGCCCACATTGCGGGGGTTGTTGAAGTGGTCGTGCACGACCTCGTGGTATCCACGCCGGGCAGCCACGGCAAAGCGGGGCGCGACGAGAGGAGCTGCAGCGCGACGAGAGAGGATGCTGAGAGACATGATTTCCGGGCTTGCGGGAAAAATCAAGGCCGCCCCTGATCAGAAGCCTGGCGAGATCTTACGACTCCTCGAGCCCGAGCAATTCAGCAGCAGCTGCTGCAAGGTCTCCATTGTCGTGCTACATCAATCGACATCATGCCACGCTACCGAAACGACACTAAGCCCGTGCATGCTGTCGCTTTGGATTTTCCTCAAGCCTAACGGCAAGAGTGAGTCTTGTCAGAAGTGCTCTGAATCTCCAGCCCAAAACAAGAAACACTCGCTATCAGCTATCACTTGCAAGTCACTTGCGGCTTGACAACCTGCCACTGCCATGGATAACTCGGAGATACAGCGTCTACTGCTGACAACCAGGCGCTGGAGGCTGAAGGACTCATTTCAGTCCCCAACGCCTGCCGAACTGGCTCCAAGGCATGCGCCAATGTCTTCACAGCAAGGGTTGACTGGATGCAGCATGCACATCTATGTTCACTTACTGTCCATGCTGAACCTACTGTTTTGCTAGGCATGCCGGCAGCTTTGAAATGCTCCAACAAGGAAAGCTGAGCTGCGCGTGGTTCTCTCTTACATCGAAGTTTGGTGAGCTCAGCTTCCCGTCGGTTGAACTGAATGATCAACTTGAGTCGTGGCGAAGGGCAATCCACAACGGCGCAGTCGGTGGAAAGCTTCCTGTACAATTTCCAAACCTTTTCACACTGGCTCATGGGCTCACTCTAGGCAACAGCTGTGAGCTGTGAACCAAAACCTCCATGACATGCCATGCCGAAGCCGCGACCTCATCGTACGCTGGAGTCCCTCACAGCGCAGTGGCCTCAGAGGTGTTCTTGGTCTTGTAGTCGGCGATGGCTGCCTGGATAGCCTCCTCGGCCAGAACCGAGCAGTGGATCTTTACTGGCGGCAGCTTCAGGTGCGAAGAGATGTCGGTATTCTTGATCTTCGACGCCTCCGTGATGTTCTGTCCGATGATCATCTCCGTGGCATAGGAGGAGCTAGCGATAGCTGAGCCACAGCCGAAGGTCTTGAACTTGGCATCCTCGATGGTGCCGTCCTTGCCCACCTTCACCTGGAGCTTGATCACATCACCACAGGACGCCTTGCCGACCAGGGCAGACCCGACGCTCTTGTCCTCCTTGTCCAGGGTGCCCACATTGCGGGGGTTGTTGAAGTGGTCGTGCACGACCTCGTGGTATCCACGCCGGGCAGCCACGGCAAAGCGGGGCGCGACGAGAGGAGCTGCAGCACGACGAGAGAGGATGCTGAGAGACATGATTTCCGGGCTTGCGGGGAAAATCAAGGCCGCCCCTGATCAGAAGCCTGGCGAGATCTTACAATCGCCCTGGGCCACGGCAGGTGCAGAGTTCATGGGCGGGAAGTATGTAAGTGAAGTGGCACATGGCACCACCTTGGACTGCAGCCGAGCATCTGTTTGGAATCGTCTAAAAGGTCGTCTGCCTGATACATGCGAAAATGTACCGTCAATGTTCAAAATGCTGTGAGGCTTTCCAGCCATTCACAATCTCGTGGTCATCGCAACCCTTCATGTACAGTGGGACCTCAACACCGCAGGTGCCGCAACACAACCGAGAAAGCAGCCTGATCATTGTAGATCTGCACGACGCTAAGGTCAACCTGCACAGGGTGTGTGGGGGTCAGCTTCCAGTGCACGTACAGACCAGACGACCCGTGTGCGAGCTGCAGCCACGGCAGCGCCAGTGGTACGAGCAGTGTTTTTCCACTCGTCGTTGTAGTCTTGTGGCACTTGTCGTGATGTGATGACAATATGTATCCTTTGCAAAACGGTGGAGGGCGGAGGGACAGGAGGCGAAGGATCAGCAGCGGCACGATGGTCTGATGGTCTTAGCATGTAGCCCACTTGTCACAGGAGGAGCATGGCATCAGCACTGTTGGTACTCGTAACACTAGCCGTGGTCGTCGCCGCACAGCTATAAAACTTCCAGGGTTGACGAATCAGTAGTATCAGCATTTCGGCGAAACACAGGACCTTTGATGAAGATCAAACAGTATGAGGAAGAAACACAACAACAGCTAGAGCAAAGTCTTGGAGCACAACGCACGGTGGTGCCGAGGCCTCAACAAGAACATGCACGAGTCCGCGCAGATAAGGACCTCTCAATCTGAAAGTTCCCAGCCCACTCGTGCCGAGATAGGTAGCAGGATGCGCCTCATACAAGGAGGCAGTGTCTGCTGCTATTGCTTCCTTGTTGCGGAGGCTTAGCAACACGTCATCTCTTAATCTATGATTTCGATGGAATCGCCTAGGTTAAGGCATGGGCAACCTTAGATTTCTGACCTCCCAAGGTAGCTCTGAGGATCCCTGGCCGAATGGGAGTGTTCTGTATGGCTGAATAGGGTTAGCAGGCCGCACACAAAGTCTTCATCCGATCACTACGGTGAAAGTCTCATAGTTTTGGGTCTCAACGCTTCAACTGCTACATGTTTAAGTTTAAGGGATCTTAAGTCTTTGGGTGGGCATGCAATCTGTCAGTCGTTCTCGCGTCTCTGTGAGCGACGAAGGATCGAAGAGTGCCGAAGCAAGGCGGGGAAGAAGCCCGGAGTCGTCCAGGAGCGTGTACCTCAGCGAGATATTGGGTACGGCCCCACTCAGTAGCGGTTGAACATTATTCATAGTATAGACATGTTAGGCCCTTAATAGTAGCCCTACTAGTATGGGGCCGTACCTCAGCGAGATATGGCTGAGGAGTCAGGCCTTGGGATTCAGGGTTTAAGGTTTAAGGTTCCCACCATAGGGGCCTTAATAACTAGAATAGAGTTTTGGGGCCATTAGACTTTAGTTGTAATAAGGAACCCCAAAATAGTGCAGGTAATTATTAAGGCCCCTATCGTACACAGAATCGTTGGAGGTGTTGGTGTTCGTTTGTTTGTTTGCCGGCGGGTTTTCTGAGTTGCACATCTGCGCCGCAGCATGCGACAGCAGTTACAGTCTCAGTCACGATCGTGATCGAGCATGCACTACAGTCAACAACATCAACAACAACTACTACTACAACTCTAGCAGCAACAAAAAATAACGGACAACAAATGACAACACCAACGACAACAAAAAGCACAACCACAACAGTCACCACCACCAACACCACCACCACCACTACCACAGCAACAACAGCAACAGCAACAACAATAACGAACGACAACACCCGCCGCTGCACCAGCAGCAGCCGCCCCTTCTTCAACAGCATCAGCACCATCGACAATAACAACGACGACGACAACAACAACTACAACTGCAACAACTACTCCTCCTACTACTACTACTACTACTCCTGCTACTACTAGTGCTACTTCTACTTCTGCCATTGCTGCTACTACTACTACTACTACTCCTCCTCCTGCTACTACTAGTACTACTTCTACTTCTGCCATTGCTGCTACTACTACTACTACTACTACTCCTCCTCCTGCTACTACTAGTACTACTTCTACTTCTGCCATTGCTGCTACTACTACTACTACTACTACTACTACTGCTACTACTACTACTACTACTACTACTACTACTACTACTACTACTACTACTACTACTACTACTACCGCTACCACCACTACTACCATGCGGAGATACAGTGACAAACGTGGTTGAAACAGGCTCTGCGAGTTAAGAGAAATCGCTGAATCTTCTTTCAGTATGAGGACTGCCCTCATCCCCATCAATGGGTGGAGCCTCTGGGCAGGCATACAAGTGGGCACTGCTTGAGCGAACGTAGGACCGATCCTACAATGTTGCCTGGCTTCAAGCCACTTTTTGAATTCATGGCTTAGGGTTTAAGCTCTTGCCGGGTTCTGCGGACTCAAAACCTTGTCTGATCTCGCTTCCCGTTGCTGCCGGGCTGCGTTTTGCCACTGCCCGTCCTTGCAGCTAGCTCGAGACGGGGACACGAACGGCAGTGCTATGTGACGACAGGCACGACTGCGCGGTAAGGGTAAAGCAACCTGCACATAGAACCCTCCTATATAAGAGTCCCTCAAACAGGAAACCCTATTCTACTTTAATAGAGTTTCGGGGTTGCTTGTTATAGTTATAGTTAGTATAATATACCCCAAAACCGTGTTCTCCCTACACTATACCCGATTCCTTGCTATAATTATAGTATACCCCGACACCCTATTCTAACTATTCAAGCCACTACATTCTTCCAGATGCCTGCAGACTGGGCTCTGGCCGTAGGCCAGGATGGTCCCATTGTAGCCTCTGAGGCACTCGCGAAGGATCGGAAGCCCGGCCTTGCGTTGAGGGCATTTCTTCAAGGCAATATAGGGTTTTTCCCTCGTACCTAGCAAGGACGAAGCCCGCATTGCAGGGAGTCTTGGGATGAACAGCTGTACAACAGCCACACTGCAATATAGGGTTTAGGGTTTAAGTTTAAGGTTTAGGGTTTAGGGGTGTAAGGCTTTGAGGCGTCTTTTGTTTCTATAAGGCTGTTCGGCTTTCAAGTTGCATGGTGCTTCCGTGTGGCAGATTTCCGGTGAGGATCGATCCACGCGGGTTCATAAGGGTTGGTATGAGGTGAGGAATATTGAGGGGTCGGCTGCACGGCTCCATTGCCAAAACGGTTTGTGTCGTTCTTCCACTCGCGACTCCATGTTTTTTGGCCTTGTAGCTGAATGCTGAGTCACAAATCACGGTTGCAGTTCCTTTGTCGGCCACATGGTCTGTGTCTCCAAACTTCATGAGCCTTGCTTGCAAAAGCTGCTACATTTTGGCAGCTATTGATATCAACATACAGCTCAGAATAGTACCTTCACATAATTAATCGCCCAGTATGCATCCGAGAGTGCCTCGATATTTGCTGGATTCCGGACATACTCGATGCAAGCTTCGTTCCCACCTGGAAACACCGAACCAGCCCAGTCACCACAAAAGGCAAGATTGATCACGAGTGTCTGATCGTTGAAGTGCCAAGAGGGGCAGTTGTAGAAGGGGAAGGTCACGTAAGGCGGGCCCCACGAATATGTGTTGCCTTGATCTAAATCTGCGGGGATCTGGCCACGAGGGAAGAACCACATGTAGATGGCTTCGTTGGTCCACTGAGTGGCATAAACTCCACCCCCATTGGCATTGAACCCTGGCCCGGCACTGTTCTCAGGCCCATTCACTCCACATCCGCTTTGGCCTTGCCCGGAAACGCAATCAGGAGTACTGATCCCGTCAATATACATGAAGCATCCGGCGCTGGTGTGGAGTGTGGATTGCACGACGTTCTCTATATTCACGGCCTCAACTGTATCAATCTCCCCATTGTAGGGCCAGTCGGGCCCCGCAGACCACCAAGCGGGCCATGTTCCCTGACCCGTTGGCATGTGCTGGATATCGATCAGCCAGACATGACCCGCCTGGTAAACTGTCTTGGACTGCAGCCGAATGCTTTTCGCGGCCTGGTTCTGTCCCACCTGGCTCTTGAGGTACACAGTGCCATTTTGCACGGAGTACAAGCCAGAGGCAAGAGCTTCACTTTCAGATACATACACGACGTCGCCGTGAGTGGGGTCCGGATAGTCGAAGAACGTCCAGCAGTCGATGAATGTGTCGCCTGAGCACTCGAGAGTCACGGCCGAATTGCTAGATGTGGTTTCGACCTTCGTGGCCGTTGTGTTGCCTTCCTTCCTGGGGCCGGAGTTAGTGTCGGACACGCAGTCTTGCAATTTTTCAGGCTTCGGGCATCCGTCAAAGTTGGTGTCTGCAGAAGGGCAGATGGTACCATCAGGGCAGCATTGGTTTCCTGCACACGCAGTGCCGCCCTGTGGGCAGGGCACCGAA